TTTGGACTACATATATAACCCACTTTCAATAAAGATGAATGTTTCCACGGGTGAAATGCTTCTTTAAACCTGTAAACTCTGAATTCATCCAGAGAAACTCTCATATCTACATACACACAGCAACACATTTCTTGTTGCTGTGGCTGATAAATACATACACTGATGTTTATCGGCGTCCAGAAGATGAATCTTCTGTAAAAAAACAAAAAAAAAAAAACAAGGTTCTGCTTGATTTGAACAGTTACATATGGGCTGGGACCAAATGAATGTGCACACTTTAATGAAACCACAGCGTAGAGGACCGTTTGGCAGCTCTCCTGATGTTTTTAATGTCCCGCCACCCCATTTATATCAACATGGTATAAGTTATAGAACGGTGCCATGTATTTCAGGAGCGCCACAGACACCTGTCAAACAGTTCCAACAAAAAAACCTTCAAGAAGAAAGGATTAGTTGCTTAATGCGGTCTAATGCGTCCTGTGTTCCTCTCCTCACAGGCAGCTGCTCCCCCGCTGTATTGTCCGCTGCCTCCGTCGCCACTGTCCAGCAGAGGAAGCTGCACCATGCTGTCATCCCCAAAGGGAAAGGAGGGCGCTCCTCCTCCAGTGGAATAGCGGCAACAGTGTTTGGTGCCACCGGCTTTCTGGGTCGATATGTGGTCAATAGGCTGGGTGAGTTCAGTATAATAGCATAAACACTGCTTGCTAAGCCGTATGCAAACGTGTGTTCTCTTTTTGAGCTGGTGCTGAGGAACATCTTCCGCGTGAGATCTCATGGCGGCTACGGGAACAATTTTATATGGTAATGTCGCAGATACTGTCAACGTGATGTCCCATTGAGGGAGTCTTACTCTATATACACCCACCAAGTGCCAAATGCTGCTTCAGTTTGAGTCACCTGCCAGATGGAATTGGAGAATATGACCTTCACTGTCCACCGCATCTGCTCTCAGCTAATCAAATCAAATCACTGACTACTATTTGATGATTTCTACTCAATGTCTGTATGTTTTTGCCGTAAGAAACATCTGCGTTAAGCACCGTGTTTTGTCTGGTAAATGTTCTCAGTTTACCTGCCGTTGGTAGATGAGCCAATAGGTCAATGTTGGACCCTGTAGTCAGTATCCCAGGGGGGGTTCATGGATCCTGATTGCCACAAAATACTGAGAAAATAGATTTCTACACACTGTTGGACAGGTGACGCAGCAGTGAGGCTGTGAGGTTGTCATATGGTGTTGTCACTAGCTTACATTGATTTGCATTAATACTTAATTATTGCTGTTAAATGTTTACCGCCGTAAATAAATGACACAAAGACGTGATTGTTTGTGTTTGCATACTGGTGATTTGCAGGTCGGATTGGCTCTCAGATTGTAATCCCTCACCGCTGTGATCAGTATGACCTCATGTACATGAGGCCCATGGGTGATCTTGGACAAATCCTGTTCATGGTAAACACACACACCTTGCAGAAATGTTGAAACACTCATGAATGGTTGAATCTTTAACCTGCACGTACTTATACATTTAGAGCCTTAAATCGAATGCAAATGTGGTGTCTCCGTTCTTTCATGCTGCAGGAGTGGGACGCCAGGAACAAAGACTCCATCAAACGGGCTCTGGAGCACTCCAACGTTGTCATCAACCTGGTGGGCAGAGAGTGGGAGACAAGGTATAGACTGGAACAATGTCTTAAAGCATCTTACTTTTTTAAACGATGTTGACATGAAATAGAATCTTAAGATGGGGGGAGATGTGGGTATGGAACTGGCATTCACACGTATCTGTCCTCTTTTTGTGTAAAGGAACTATCGCTTTGAGGACGTCTTCGTGTCCATCCCTCAGCAGATTGCCAAGGCAGCCAGAGAGGCCGGCATCACAAAGTTCGTCCACATGTCTCACCTCAACGCTGACATACGCAGCCCGTCCAAATACCTGAGGAACAAGGTACACCAGTGTGTCTGCGTTTCAGCTGCACATGATATATACACATGTTTAAACCAGTGTATATCAAAGGGTAACGAAGGTTGATCAGTGTGAATATGTTCCGTTACAGGCTGTAGGAGAGGCAGCAGTGAGGGATGAGTTTCCTGACGCCATCATCATGAAGCCCTCTGAGATGTTCGGGAGGGAGGACAGATTCTTCAACCATTACGCGAGTAAGGCAGTCGCTCTCAACATATCGGTCTCTGAGTGATGGGAATGTGACTCAGTGTATCAGTGTGTATTTAGTGCTCTGCTGTGGACACTCCCACGTCACTCCCATTGTGCTGCATATTCATTGCATTTGCATCTCTTCTAGGGCTGCAGCTCTCGAATATTTTGGTAATCGAGTATTCTGATCGAATATTCCATCGATTAATCGAGTAATCGGATAAAACATACTTTTGCTTAATTAAAGCCCAATTATAAATATACAATAGAAAACAAGACAGATCACTTAATAATAACAACCAATTTGTTTCCTTTT